ATCGTTTCTACTCATTCATATTAATATTATAATGTATAATATATTAAAGTTTTTAATATTGGTAATATTATTAAAGCTTTTAATACTATTTTTTAATATTAATAATAATCTTAACTAATTAAATATTGCGCCTTGCTTAAAAGAAGTACGAGATAAATATCTCGTTTTTTATATCTTTACGTATGCTAAGGGTAATAAATTAAAATCCTTCAATACAAGACTAAAGGTAGGTACCTATAATTTGAATAAGCTGGTTTTGCCCATACTGACTTTCTAATTACCTACTAATTTGCATAACAGTCTGTACCTGGTCATAATGCTGTTTTAATATTAGGATTTTCATTTCGTTTGTTGAAACTTCATCCGATATTAATTTCTTGGAAATTTATATAAGGCTGAGAATAATAAATCGGAATACTTGAGTATTTGTTGAAAAAAACTGAAATTGAAGGTACTACACAATCGAAGAGCTCAAAAAATTAAACATTTCCGGTATTCTTTTTCCAGATCGTATTTTGTTTTCGAGATATATTTAAATTTGGGAATGTTTTATTATTTTTCCACTTATTTCATGTTCTTTTTTAATTTAATTTCAGTGTATAAAAGCCTTTACAATATTATCCAAATTTTATTTGGAAGTTTTAATCTTAAGTGTTCAGAAACAATTTGCTAGGAAATGAAAATTTGTTTTTTTCCTTAGTTCTTAATTTGCTATAATATTTCTCATTTGATTTAATAAAAAATATTGTAAATTAATTTTTTTGAATAATTATAACAACGACTCACATCCGAGTAGCTTAACACAATTAAAGAAAATATAAGGAATACGCTCACGACTCGGAACTGAGTCTTTTCTTCTTTTCGCATAAAATATTACAAATTTATTTAAAATACCCTTTATTTAATATATTTATTCATCACAATTTAAAAAAATACTAGTCAGCACAGCGGTTGATTTCCATGAAAATACGCTAAGCAGTGATAATTAATACATTATAATATTAATATGAATAATATTACCAATATTAAAAACTTTAATATATTATATATTATAATATTAATATGAATAATATTACCAATATTAAAAACTTTAATATATTATACATTATAATATTAATATGAATGAGTAGAAACGATTACATTTAAATTTGGCAAATTGTAACTCCAGTCAACTAATTCACGAACTTACAAGTACGATTGCGCGAAGCCGTGGAATTTGTATACCAAATTCTCGGTCTGTAGATCCTTGTTTGCTGGCGTCCCCCACACGAACAGAAGTATCATTAATCGATTGTAGTCAAGGCGTCAAGAAACTTGTGATGTTGCTGAACGTCATACAGGCCGTACAAGAAGAACCGACTGGTTGAAGACCATTTTATTAAGTTACAGAGTTTGCGAGATAGCACTGTAACTGCATCACAATTACAAATGAGGCTGCAAGAGACTTATCATGTATATGTAAGTGGCCAAACCATTAGAACTATACTGCATACAGTAGGGTTAAATGCTCGAAGACCTATAAGAGTGACTGTGTTATCCAGAGAAAGTCGTGCTTATCGACTTAAGGAGGCACAAAACACGCAAATTGGGTTAGATGTGAATGGGCCTCTACTTTGTTCACAGATAAGTCCCGATTTGGATTTATATCAGATACAAGACGGACAAAAATTTAGAGATGATCTGGTAATTCTAAACGATTGGTCACCGTGCACGAAGTTTATAGACAACAAGGCGGCAGCATAATGGGTATGGGGTGGCATCACTCTTGGTGGAAAAACCAATCTCGTTTGTTTGGAACAGTTTCGTAATTCAACAGACTACCACAATATTGTTATTGAACCTATTGTTGTACCCTTTGCACCACAAGCTGGTTCCTAAATTTAGAAAATTAAATTGTCCACAACATTATTTGTATTACTTTTTAGTGTAAAATGTAAAATAAAAAAGTTATTATTAAATTTAATTAAAAATAAAAAAAACTTTTTTGGGCCTTATAATTTCTTTAATCGTTTTAGGATAATATGACATTAAAGGAATAATATAGAGGATTTTCAAAGAATAATTTTTACTTTAATTTTTCATTTCAATAATTCCAATCATTTTTTGGATTTTAGAGAGCTCCGAATTTAAACGGGCTTCATTACTCGTAAGAGTAAGATGAAAACCAACCATTAGACTTAGTTTTCTATTATTCACTATTCGACCCCTTTCGACACTACTTATTATTAATTATCTGAAAATAAATTTGTTGCTAATGAAAAGAACAAAACAAAACTAATAGACCTTCTCAAAATCGATCTTTAATTTAGGCACTTGGTTGTCAGCCTGAAAAATAATAATTTTCATACCACTTTTCCAGCCCTGAAATGAAATGACTTTCTAAGAGCAAAAACCTGTGATTTTTGAGATTTGTTTAAAAAAATTGTTTAAAAAATTTCTGCCCAAAAATTTTTCCAGGCACCCTTTTGATTTGTTTAAAGGGGACATTTTTGAAAATGAATACGCAATGAAACAGAATCAGAAACATTTTTTCTACGGGAGCAGCCTCATAACCTGCATACGGGGACATACTTTTAAAGTCATTTAGAACCTTTTTTGTATGATATTATGTTTTGTTGCTAATTGATGTCAATATTAACAAAATATACTAAATAGTCACAGAAATATGATACTTTACAACAGTTTCTGTGTTTGCGACGTATTCCCAACATAACAAAGACGGAAAGTCAAATTCTTTGATCTTAAAATCAGACTAAATGTGCTAGCCAGTTTAACAATGAAATTTTACTGAATAACAGAAAACAATATATTTTAAAGCAAAATAAGTTATAATATGCCATTAAGTTAGATCATCATATAGTACAGTAAAAGAAAAAGAGAAGAGCGGTGTATCCTAGAATTCTCACCATTGCACCATCCGATATGTATGGCACTGCAAAAAAAGTAATTTAAATAACGTTATATTATGTATGAATGCCGTACTGTATCAAATTGCCGAAAATGGGGTAAAAATTTTTCGAAAATAAAAGATTGTCTCTGTTACTGGTACCAATATTTTTGTACAGTATTAGTCGCAGGCCATTATTTCTGTATTAGGTACCTACCGAACTAAATGCCGTACAAATATATTTTTCAAAAATGACTCTCCCTTTGAGTTGTACATTTACCTAACCTGTGTAGTCACCTGTAATGATAAAAATTGGCGGCATAGTTTCTAAAGGTATTACATAGTGTATTATTAATTTATATGTGATTCATGCTGGGTCAAATGATTCCTTAAAAATGTCTTATGGGATCGTAGTCTATAAAGGAATCCAAATGATGGAAGCTTTGGTGCTTGTAATCGTTAGCGGGTGACGACGATTGTGTATCTTATTAACTCATTGCGACGAGAACTCATTTTAATGTTCTGAAACTATTTTCGTAGAAGATGTTTAAGTTAAATATGTACTTTTATGAGATTGTAGTTATTTCCCATATAAATACATTATTGTTGTAAGTTTTTTTTCGTCTTTTTCGTCTTTTTTTTTCTGAAGCGGGTTGGTCCAAATATTCGTAACATACGTTGGTTCTAGAAGGTGGACAGAACCGGCCTTTAGCCTTTGATATGTAACTTCCTTCAGCGTGACCAAGATAAAAGGTCACGCAGGGGTTGTTCGAAAACCATCGCCGTCAATGCCAGAGACCTACGTGCTAAAAAATACCCTCCTCAGCGGTGAATTACCCGCTGGATCGCCCTGATTGGGACGCAACATTGGCACGACATTCATCCAATCTCTAGCATTCTCGCACTTTCTCACTACGACTGAATTATTCCCTTCCTCTGTTACTCCCTGTCCATGTTCAATCTCGCCCCTTCTCATTCTGCTTTCTCTTTTTGCTTACTCCTGGGCACCCTGCCTCCCTTTGGGTCGCCTTTCTTCGTTTTCCTTTCTCTCCAACGTTCTCCTTACATATCTCTGAACTGCTCTTTACCGATATGACGACCAAAGCATCTCTTTTACCAGTTCCGTGACTAATTGCACCCTTCTTCCTAACTCTCTCTCTCAAGCATTATTGTGAGTATTATCGTCCCATTATTGTTGTGAGTTTAAGATCCTTATTAAGTTTATCGGTGACAGAAAGTTGGTGCATAAGTGAGAGCGCCCACCAAACTGGCGTGGCAGTGGCAAGTAGCAAGTAGCACGCATCTAGCATGTTATTTTTAAATGTAACCAATGAAAAAAAGTTATTATTAGAATGAATGACGTCACTATCATTTTGGTGAGCGCTGAATCATTCGTTTTCATTGGTTACATTATGCTAGACGCGTGCTACTTGCTACTTGCCACTGCCACGCCACTTTGGTGGGCGCTCTCCCTTAGGCTATGCATTTGCTGCTTTTAGGTGTGAATAATTCCATTGTGTGTATACTCTAGAAAGTGTGTTGCAAAAAGAAAGGTCACAATTCTTTAATGTATTGAGGAAACTAAACTGTTACTAAAAGTAAGCTATTCTACTAAGACTAAGAACTAAGCTTTTACTATTTTTTCCTTATTGACGTCGGTATATATGTATGCATCAAACTATCATCTCTTTCATTTTATTGAACTCTTCTCTAAGCAGAAGGTTAGGTGGTTTCTTATTGTCGTTGTTCTGGACAACTGGTGTTAGAACTGTCTTAGATAGACTGGTGTTAAAAGTAAGTATTTAGAGATATAGAATATGAAATATTTCATATGCAAAAACTGTTCTTAATGGTATACTCACAATGATTTGTTCTGGTGAATGACAACGGAGCCGGCGCAGGTCTCTAAAGAACAACATTTTATAAATTAACTGTTCGGATACCATAAAATAAAGTATCAATTGTAGAAACTTTTCGTTACACATGGTAAATGATCCAGATCCAGAACAAAACTTACAATTACCACATTGTATGCGGTTGTTCGCCGACTGGCCTAACGTACCTTATGAGTTACGACATATTTAACATTTTTAAACGTCATTCTTCTTTTCAGATAACATTTCTATAGAAGAGCTGTGGGTGATGATTTAAATTGGAAATGACGGAAGTCGCCATGAGTTTGATTCCATCCCGGAATCGGATCGCAACGGTAAGACATTATGAGGCGGCACCTCCACCAGGATTGGAGTTGGTAAGTACCTATTGTTTTAGAGTAGTGATTTACGGTAGAAATTAGTGTACACAGTTTGAAGTTTTTGCTAATTATTTTATATAAAGTTTACTTGTTTAAACCAAGTAATAACTTTTCAAAAATGATCTGAAAATCCTTATATACGTCAGATATACAGGGTGAGTTATAAATGTTGGTGAATATGCCAGGGTCAGGTTATTTGGACAACAATATGATTGTTGTATTAAAACTATCTTCTGGTGCGTACGATATGCAACATGTAGGCGTTTAGGCTGGTTGGATTATGGATAAAGGTCTTTCTTCTGCTCTTCTTATTAACATATGCCTTATGAAAGTGTTCCAATTAAAAGAAGATGCATTACATGTAATGTCGAAATTTTTTGTCTTTTTGGTAGTTAAAAATTTAACTGTATATGGCCGTATGTAAGAGGACCGTACGTTTGACTTTCACACGGAAGACAGAAGATCGATCCCCAGCGTCGGTGAAAATATCTAGTAATATTTTAAAGATATTTTAAATATCTACAGGCCCTAGGTCAACTCAGCCTGAATAAAATAAGTACCTGTGCTAAGTCCAGCACTAATAATAAAGTTTTAAATATAAACAATTCACACTGACCGGAACGTCTCGTATCAGAACGAGTCGAAACCTGTTGGTACGGATAATGTGAATTAGTGGTCCGTGTCATTTTCTTCTCGTTGTTTATTTAGATATTTATTTGATTTTGACACAGAATATTTAAAAACTAATTTTTGAGGCTATTTGGTCTGTAGCTGTAGGCTGTAGCTCTTTGGAAATAAAAAACTATTCTGTAAAATCATTTTATTAAATTTTTTAAGCAGGTTTTTTTAAATTTTTTGTTCTTGGTCTTTGCAAGTAAATCAAGAACACACATCACACTTGTCGGTACCTATACATTTAGATATACTAAACAAAAATTGCACCTATAACGTTGACAACTGCAGGTAGCTAATAGAAAACTACTTTTTGTAATATTACTTCCATATGTTTCGATTGACATGAACACGTTTCTCTGAAACCCTCTTCCATCGTCTTGATTTTTGTTGCTTTGCTTCATATTTTCTGCCACGAGTTGTTTCCCTAGGTGTTCAATAAGTAATTTCCTCTTAAGGTCGTGGGATAGTATCATGCACGTTGCGTTTCCAGCTCGCAGCGTTTAGTTTCCGAAAAATATAGTTTAAATGGTTTTAAATATACACAATTCACACTGACTGGAACGTATCGTATCAGGCACGGAACGAGTCGAAACCTGTTGGTACGGATAATGTGAATTAGGGGTCCGTCATTTCCTCCTCGTTGTTTATTTAGATATTTGTTTGGACTTAGCATGGAAGTGATACCTCTTCTTTTTTAAAAATTCTCTTTAGTTTGATATGTATGGCTTTGTTAAATGTAGTATTTTGTTTTTTAACTAAAGGTGTTAATAAATTTAAAATATATTTAAACTGAATCCTATCCATTCTAAAATATCCATAATATTTTTCATCGTCATCAATTAATTCTGTGTATAAAGTCCAGTATTCACCTTCCTTTTTCCTTTCTCTTAGTATTGGATGTACTTCAAACCTTCTTTTTAATAAAGTTTTTCTTTCTTTATCGTTAAGTAGAAGAGCAATTGTACATAATTTGTTTTGCGAAAAGCGAGATCAATATGCCGTTACCTTTGGTCTTCATAGACGTACTGCCTTGCCATCCTAGATATTTTTTTTTTACTTTTTTTTAGCAAAATAACACATTTTTTTCGACATTAAGGTAACGCATTTACTAAAAAGAAATTAACCATCAAAATTAGAGTAGTAAAAATTTTTGGCATCGCAAAGAGCCCAAATTTTAATTACATATTTACCAGGTGTGTTGAACATATAAATTTTAAATTGACAAAAATTAAAAGCAAATATCAGATACTTCTCTCACAGGTGCTGCTTTCTTTCTGGCCTGGTCGACACAAATATATATTTAATATTTCCATATATGATAAACACTAGTATATTCAGGATGAAGTTTTACCTGACTTCATTTTAGATGTTAGAAATGCTCCAAATGACACTCAGTGTCATTAAAATTAACTTAAATATTGTCTACTATATTTAAAGCTCCAAGCAAAAGGGAACTCAAAAAATCAAATTCAGTGCAGTTGAAATAAGGATGACCGATAGAAGAAATACTAAAGCTCAGACTTGTATAAATGACTTGGACAATTGTGAAAAAAAAAACCTGATGGCTCTCACCTACACAAGAAAATAAAAGATATCGCTGACAATAAACGCAAACAACTTTAATAAAGTTTAGAAGCCAAAAAAAGGACCACATGGTACTAGATATAAATAAAAGGTTTGGTCGGTTGGTCAGACAAAATGGCTAAAATTTTTTTTCCAGTTATGATATTTTTTTGCTGTCCTTGTTAGTTTTAACTATAAATTATCCAATAGCTAAGCAAGTTATAGTTAATATGCCATAGAATAGGCAAAGGAGCCATCTTCTTATTTTTCTAGCGATGTTCATGTTTTCGTGCATTTGGTCAAATACGTACTTGGTTGCATTATAAAAGTGAATGATATCTAGCTTTCCTGTTGGATCAAATTCTACTGGATCATTATGGATTGTTGATAGAAGAAGCAGATACTTATTTACTTTTCTCTTATACGATTCCATTGTTTTTTAACCATCGAAGCAGAATGATGAATGAAAAATTTCACGTATTTTGAGATTTATTATCTCGGCAGGTATTTCTTCTATGTTTCCGAAGATTACTAACTATGGTTAAATTGAAAGGAGGTTTTAAAAGCTCTGTTGCTAACAGTATTTGCGTAAACCAATTAACCATAGTTATGGTGTCTTCCGTACACTCCTTGAATTAACTGTTTTACATAATATTCTTCTAGAGGCTGTCCATTGGTTTTAGTTCCCTTTATTAAATACAATTCTGCATCAAACATATGTTTGGAATCTACGCTGTACATACCGCATTACCATTTCAGTCCATATTTGTCTTAAAGCCAGTTTTGCAGTTGTGTATAATATCATCCCTATTTCATAACTGGCTGCTAATAGGTGTATCCTTTTTGCCTGGTCTAGACATTTTATCATCAAAACGTAAACATTCTATAAGAAATTTAAATCTTTTCCGACCCATAGTTGCTTTACATGTCACACCAGAAATTTCTTAACAAACATTTGTCTTGTCGCTAAATGATTATATTTTTTGGCAGCAGCAAAAATAAGTAGTCCTTGGAATGCATGCAATTCTTCAATATTTACTTTAGTAGTTTGTAAGTTTTTTAACTTTATATTTTTGTGTCCTAACAGAAATTTCAGCATTTGTATATCCTACAATTTTTTCCAGATAATTTGGATTCATAAAAAAACTAAAAGTATATAAGGGAGTTTGTGCTTCCTTGGTGATATTAGTGAGGCCTTAAATAAAATGTAGGAAGATACATTTTGTGTGTTTATTTTTAGATTTTAGACTCTTTGCCGTCTGTAACCGCAATTTCTGCAGATCCTTCTTCGTTTGGTGGAGTTTACTGAGCAGGACATTTGACATTCGATTTTAGAGCCAATAGTTTATTTTCTGGAAAAAACTGAGGTAAACTGATGGTTAAGTAAAATTGTTACTTGATTCATCTAGCTACAAATCTTCCAGGGACCAATTGCAACTCAGCTTCCATCTCGCGCTATGTAAGAGGACTGTGCGTGTTTCTATTTTTCCTACTCATATTTTACACTATAAAAAACTGCAATTCTACACTATTTATTGCCCTTTCTGTAAATGTAACGTTATTTACCCTTTTAATATTTAGTGATTACCGAATGTTACGTTTTTAAGATATTAAATGATTTTGAAAATTTTGGCAAATTTTGACAAATTGCTGAAATTATTAAAAACAACTGTATTGGATGATGTATACTAATAAAAAACTACAAATCTATACTGAATAACATCAAGTCGCAATAATAAGAATAAAAAAAACTGTCGGATGAAATAAAAAGTTTTTGAAAAAAGGCAGCAAATATTTGATTTCACGCAAACAAATCCTATGTATCTGTTGATACGTATTTCGACCTAATAGGTCTCGTCAGAACAGCTATTCATAGGAGTTCTCAACGTGAAAAATCAATATTTTCTGCCTTTTAAGAAGCAACAATAACATGGCTTCAATACGGACGCGCTAGCGACATCTAATTCCAAAAATCGTAAAATAGTTTCGAAACACAATTCAGATTTCTGCTTTATAATCTGAGCCTTCTAAAAATTGCAAGGCAAACAGACGTTGATAAAAGATGTTAAAAGAGACATGGGGAATCTAAAATTTGCATTTCACGACATGTCTTTTACAACTAAGCAGAAATCCTTAGCGAATTGTGCTTCTAGTACTCACACAGAGTAAATTTGCTGCATTTTTTCATTTTATTCGGATTTTTTTTTCGAAGTTTTTCTTGAAAATCTTTGAAATTATATAACGGTTAACGACATAATAGGTATAATATATTAAAAATCACTAAAAAGTTTCGTCAAAAAATTATCAACTCAGTTTCATTATAAAAAATATTCACTTGACGCTTCCTGTAAGAAAATATAAAAAAAATATATTATTTTTTGTTTAAAGTTATGCTTTTGTGTCGATTTTACTCTAAATATCCTAACACCCATCTATATCCTAAAAGTTATGACTCACACTGTATATCTAATACTTATTGGTCTACTATTTTATGGCAAATTAAGGATTATAGTATTTTTGGGGTTCCATAAAGTAACTATTAGATCTTTTGTCTCCTAAACTTGTATTTTGTATTGTATATAATCTGATAATAGATGAAATGATAAAGAAAGTAAAAAAAGAAAATGATATAAAATGGGAGAAAAGGAAAAACAGATAACATGTTACACCTACGACGCCATAATAATGATGGAAAACGATAATAAAGACTAAGGCTAACAGAGTAACAAGATGCCTAAACAATACATATGGCAAAACAA